GACAGAGTCTCACTCTGTTGCCAGGCTAGAGTGCTGTGGCGTCAGCCTAGCTCACAGCAACCTCAAATCCCCAGGCTCAAGCAATCCTGCCTCAGCCTCCTGAGTAGCTGAGACTACAGGCATGCGCCACCATGCCAGGCTAATTTTTTCTATATATTTTTAGTTGGCCAATTAATTTCTTTCTATTTTTGGTAGAGATGCGGTCTCACTCTTGCTCAGGCTGGTTTCGAACTCCTGACCTTGAGCGATCTGCCTGCCTTGGCCCCCCACAGTGCTAGGATTGAGCCACCACACCCAGCCTAGTAGTGAGCTCTTGACTCCAACAACATTTCGTTTTTTGGAACTATCATGTATTATCATAAATTTTGAACTTTTGAAAAACTATGTACAAGTTATAGAGCTACATGAATTTATTTTTCCTGATTTCAAAGGACAACATTTAATTGTAAAGCATAAGCAAAACAATAAGTAAATTTAAAGGGATGTTTCTTTGCCAAGACTTCCCAGAAATATTTGGTTTTAGCAGGGAAGGCACAGGCAAAATTATTGGACTTGAAATTTGTTTCCTAGCTGTTAAATCTCAGTTCTTTAGATTTATGAGTTGCAGGGCCTGGCAGCAGTCCCTCTTCCACTTTCCCTCAGTGGGGCAGCCTCCAGGGCCTGTTCGTGTGATGTTTATGTGGATCCTATGGTTATAAATTAGCCGACTTAGAAAACAGAACTGAGATAAATCAATCTCAAGACAACAAAGATATCTGTAATAAAATTAAAATCCACAACATGTCTGATTCCTTAACCAACTCAGATTCTGTTACTTTGCTGTTTGTTTTGAAGGATGCCGGCTACTGCCCTATATCTCCTGGGGCAGATGTGTCTGCAGAAAGTCTGGTCCAACTTTCCTGCAACATGACACAAATCATTAGTAACCTCTGTTTTCTTTTATAGGAAGCACCATGACACCACTCTTTTAAGTGTAGTCCCCATAGAAGTAGATCCAGAGACAAGGATTTCAGTGAAAGTGGCTCGTGTGGAAGCTCATCCTAAGAATCACCAATGGGAAGGTGAGGAGATGAGAGAGAGAAGGCAAGGGCCCTGCACACCTGAGACTCCAGCAGCTGGCAACCATTGGGCGACTGTGGCACGTGCTTCCTAGTTGGCCCACCCGAGGGGCGAGAGGGTCAGGTATTTAGGCACCATCTCCTATCCACCATTGCCGAAGGGCTCTCCTGCAGCCGTATCTCCTGGTACTTCTGGCTGGTCCCTCGTGCAGGCTGAACGCATAGCTATAGCTGGAACAGGCCCACAGGCAAAAATGACAGCCATTTGCAGCCAGAAGCCATCTGTGAATAGGGAAATGGCACAGGCTGAGGCACACGGATGGACGACAGCAAAACTGGCTGCACACACAGCTCAATCAGTGGAGCATTCAGGCGACAGTGTGGAAGAGCGTTGATTCCTAGACACCAGTGTCAGGCATGTGGTGACAGCACTTGTTAATTGGCTAAGCAGAAATCAGCTAAGAAAAGAATAATAACTTGCTTTAAAAATGGAAAAGCACTATAGAAATAAAGCGATTCTTTTCTTCTTTTATTACTTAGACCTGTGGCCTAAGTCTAAAGACCAAATTACTTTTCTCAGTGGGAAATCACTCTGGGTCTTCACTTGGAACATGAGTCCTCCCGGTCAGCTTCAGTGGAAGACCGAGAGAATAGTGGGACATGTATGGTGTCAAGCGATCATTCCAATGGAAAGGGACACAGCAAAAATACACAGACATTTTACCTAAATTTTTAATTTAATGAAAGAAAAAGAAACCGTGGAAACTAAAAAAGTTAACCTTTAAATAGCTCTTTCTGTATGATTTTCTTTAAGATATTGTTTTCTAATATATTCCCCTTAGGTTAAGAAGACAAATTATAAAATCTAATAAGGGGTTGGCATCCTTGAAGTTTATTAACTAGACCATTCAACTGGAGATCATATAAATTCTCCCTTTTCTCTTAAAGATGAAGTCATTATCATGATGCCATTTCTCTTGCCCACCTCCTGATTTTTGTTAGTTATATTTTATGCCATCAAGACATAGCAATTTATGTACTTATTTTTAGCCATAATTTTCACAATTATGTAATATCCACTTTATATTTTAAGTGAACACACTGCTCTTAACCAGCCCTTTCCCCGCAGCCTCTCCATTTCTAAAGTCTATAATTTAATTCATGTTTTAGTTGGCCGAAGTTCACGGTCAAGCACATTTTTCACAAAGGGACCTTGAGTGCTGATAACCTTTAAGGTTTTTTTTATGCTTGCCTTTATTCTTACATGACATCTTGGCTGGGAATATTATCCTAACCTCACACGTTCCTTTCTTCAGAGCTCTGTTACAGTCTTTTCTCCCTCATGTTTGGGGTACTGAATGCTGCTATGAAGTGATCTGATGCCAGCCTGAAACTTTACCTTGTAAATGACTTGCTCTCAGCCCAGAAGTTCAAGAATTTTTCTTTTATTCTGGAAGTATTGCTGTTGAGTATTTTGTATCCATTTTCTTAGAATATGATGTGAGGATACACACGTGTGTGTGTATTTCCTTCCTTCCTTTCTTTTTTCCTCCCTTCCTTCCCTTTTCTTTCTTTCTTTTTCATTCCTGTAAGACAGGGTTGCCACTTTCATCTGAGAGGAGTCCCTTCTCCTACTTCTTCCCAATAGTCATTTACATTACACTGTAGCCAGAAGACAGAGGATGAAGTCACCCACTCTGCTTGTCTTTCCTCACACCGTGGCTCAGGATTTTGTGCACCTACCAGTAGAGTTTCTGAAGACTAAGGGAAAGATGAGTAGACTTCTCATGCTCTATTGTGAGCTCCTATTCTGTTCCCTCTGAATTCCTTTTTTCTTTCCTGAGCTACCACTTTGTCAGGTCAATGGCATTTGAGCTTTTTCTATTGATGATTTTTAAAAAATTTTTTTGCTGACCGTTTACTATTTTTGTTAAATTTCTTATTCAGAAAGGTATTCTTTAAAGAAGTTTTATTCTTCCATCTTAAAGTTGATATCCCTAGAATTTATATTCTTAAGCTCCCTAGATGACTCATGTGCTCACAACGTCTGAGGTCAGTGATTCATGTACTCCTGTGCCCAATGGTACTCGCTTTTCTCCACATGGTTGTATTTATCCTCCCTGAGCCTCAGTGTGACTTTATCTGCTAAAAAATAATAAACCTTCTCTGATTACACTTTATTTTGAGATTGTGGCAAAGAGATAAATGAGGTTATGTGTACTAATATATTTCAAAAACTTTCTCACACTCAAGAATGATATTATTATTGTCGTTTTCAATTTTTCTCCTTACATGAACTGAAGAATTTGCTCGGGTATTGTTTTGCATAAGAGATGAAGTCTCACTGTGTTGCCCAGGCTGGAATGCAGTGGCGCAATCACAACACTGCGGCCTCAAACTTCTGGGCTCAAGTGATCCTCCCACTTCAGCCTCCCAAGAAACTGGGACTACAGTCATGTGCCACCAAACTGGGCTCAAGCGTTTAGTCTTTTCATTTATTTGGAAGTTACAGTTATCCATTTTTTCAGAGATTTTCCTCCTGACTGTATTTTACTAGACTAGCTATTACAGCCAATAAATTAAAAGGTTCCTCTTTTTTGTACCGTTTTTTCAAAGAAACTTTAAAATAGCGTTGAAAATGGCCAGTTACTCGTCCCCGAAGGGCATAAACTCAGTGGTTATTTTTATTTTTATTTATTTATTTATTTATTTGAGACAGAATCTCACTCTGTTGCCCAGGCTAGAGTGAGTGCCATGGCATCAGCCTAGCTCACAGCAACCTCAAACTCCTGGGCTCAAGCAATCCTCCTGCCTCAGCCTCCAGAGTAGCTGGGACTACAGGCATGCACCACCATGCCCAGCTAATATTTTCTATATATTTTTAGTTGACCAATTAATTTCTTTCTATTTTTTAGTAGAGATGGGGTCTCACTCTTGCTCAGGCTGGTTTCGAATTCCTGACCTTGAGCAATCCACCCAACTTGGCCTCCCAGAGTGCTAGGATTACAGGCGTGAGCCACCATGCCCGGCCAGTGATTATTTTTAAATGATTGGTTTATTTCTTTGGAACCTGAAATCTTACCTTTTAAGGGAAGATTAAGCCACTAAAAAAGAAAAAGAAAAAGAAAAGAAAGAGAGAAACAAAGCCTAGGAACCAGTTAGTGGTTTTGTATCAATTTACCATACTGTTTGCACTGGATAGATGTTAATAGCAAAATAAAGGGACATAAAGAGATTTCTTTCTTTAGTTTCACCCCAAGGGCAAGCAAAGCAAAAGACACACAGCTGATACACGAGATAGGAAGTCCATGTTATCTAGTGAATCAGGAAAATAAAGGACATTAAATAAATGTTCCCACTTGTTCCTGAAGCTATTAATAAAAGTTGTGTGCCAGTTTATGACAATAATCAAGCAGAACCCCACCTTAATCCTATACCACATGAAGTTCTATGGGCCCCTTTTAATACGTGGTAACTTTATCTTTATACTTAGAAAGATCTAAGTGAGAGTCCAACTGATGCATTTATTTTTACGACTGAGCTTTCTTAGCCCAATATGGCACCTACCTATTGAGTGCAGGGGTTGCTTAACTTCCTTTTGTCCTTCCAAGAATTTAGCAATATCTGTGTTCCTTGCTGTAGGCTTTCTGTCTCAGAAAGATTATGACAGACACTTGACCTTACAGACCCACTTGCCTTTATTTCCTAGTATCAAAAGGTCACTTCTTAGCATATGCCCTTTCCCCTTCCAGCCTGACTACCCACCACCCCATGGCTTTCCTCAGACAGTCACACTGAAAGGACAATTAAAGAAGCACTTCTCCTTGTCATGATATCTAGGGGTTTGCAAACAGCCTTGTGGTGCCATAGAAAGGTAAAAGCCACATACTAAATGAGCCAACCTGCAAGCAAAATGAGCCATTTGCTTAACATGACAACATATTTCAAAGCTGGATATGTTTTATTTATAAATAACATTTAGATACAGAGGTTAATAAGATGTTCCAAAGACCCCCAGTTCATTAGCACAGACACACCAGAGAAGAAAGACAGCATGTTTTTGTGTCTGTGCCACGTGACAGCAAAAACCAAGGCTGGTTATATCCAAACATCATAGTAGGCATAGTGCCAGGTCACTCGCAAACTACAAGTATTAGGCTTATTTTCTTATTTGTGAGTACTCCTGAATAATTTCCCTGGATACCTTCATTCTGTACAATTCATACTGTGCCATTATATCACATCAGTTATACAACTTAAACTCATTCTTCAGTTCGCATGAGATCTGCTAAAAAATATTTATACGTAAACAATAATTAAAAAATTAAGCCTCTCTGCCTCCTCCCCACCCATTCTCCTTGTGAATTTACTCCACCTGTACACTGTGGGAAGTAGTCTAACCAAGTTGATATGAGATTTTTTTCATTCATCAGCTAATTTCCAAGTATCCATTCTGGAAACTGTAACCTATTGGAATTTTAGAAGTCTATCTTAATATCAGTCACACTTTATATGCTAGTACTTTGCTTTAAAAAGAATAATCCAATGTAGACATTGATACTCTGGAACTAAAAAGTTTTTAAGCAAGGTCAGATTCTTCCTCTGTCCCACTAGCACCATCAACTCACTAACTTTTGTGAAGTCCAGGAAGTGGGACTCTAGAGACTTCAGAAAGATGTGCATCATCTGCACAGGAGTGAAGCAGGAAGTCATCCCGTTGCTATAGAGATGGCTTTATTTCTGCACGTGCATACATATGTCTGTAACTGCATTCACAACTGTCACTTTATTGTTCCTACTGTATTTTCATGCTTCAGAGAGTTGAAAAAATGTTTTTCCCACTTTAAGTGTCAATTCATTCCTAACCTGTAGGGTCTTTATAATCTCAAAAAAATTCTGATTTATGAATGGGAAAAGCTAATAAGGTACTAGTGCAAATGCATAGCCTGATGATGACACAGCATATTTAAGGCCCCAGAATTCCTTCCAAGGATGTTGCTGCACCCCGTAATCCTACCCAAGTGTAAGTCTCTCCAGCATAGGCAGCAGTTTAAAGAATCTGCAATTTTAATTGTTCTTCATGGGGCTGCTAAAGAATTGAGTGTTTGGCAACTCATGCATATAGAGTCACTTATCTCATTTTATTTAGTCTTGAGATGGTAAAAGAAATCCATAATATTACCAAAGTGTAAATACTAATTATCAAATAATTCAGAGTACTGTGACTGAAAGATTGAGTTCTTGAGAAGCCTAAACTCCTCCCTTTTTAAAAGTAATAGAAAAATATGCCTTGGTAAGATCCTGAAGGACAGTCTTAGAATCTGGCTTTGCTTAATTTAATCTTGGATCTGAACCCACTTCATAAAAGCCTTCAAGTCCCCTATTTGAAGGTGACTAAGACTCCATTCCCTCACCTTCCAGCATGTCTTTTTAAAATATTATAAAGAACATAGTACTGTACTCAGTATTTCAGCAAAAGAAACAAAAACAAAAAAAAAACCCTGCTGGTTAAATTCACAGAATGAATGCATAAAAGGCAGAAGTAAATAAACAAGACTTAGAATTTTTTTTTTTTAAGAACTTTAAAAATAAACTGGGCTGCAAAACTACTTTTGCAATGACAGTGTCATGTCTGGCCCCCTGTGTTTCAGAAGCACTGCATAAACACGAACAGAATCATCTAATGCACTTTTTCAAGACAGTGCTCCTCAGCCGGGGGCTAGCGCGAATTCATTCTACTGCTAGGTGCCAATGACACTTTGGTTTGCTTTATTGGCAACATTTTGGCGACGCATCCTATGCTAAGAGGAAGGCTGGAAACCAAGCACACGACAAGAGCCAAATCCACCGTGTTATTTCTTTTCATGTTTCTTAGTTAACTCCCCCACGCCCAGCTGGAAGCTGCCCGGGTTGTCGCTGGTTCTCTCCTCCTCGCGCCGACTCTCTCGGGACACTTGCCGCACAGCTTGCAGGATGGCACGCTGCACAATCTGTTTGCTGGCATTCTGCAGTTTCACCTCTTCGGGCTCATTTCCAGGTTTCTCACCTAACCAAAAATATGAAAGGAGAAGAAGAGAAATTAATTTCAGGAAGTATGACACGGAGGAGCAGGGAAGAAAGATGGGAGGGAAGGGTGAGATTGTAAGAACACGCTAGATTGGCCCAGTTAGCTATGAGAAGCCCAGTAGACACACACCGGTGTCCTGCGTATCCACGGAGACTGGTCCCAGGACGCCCCATGGATACCAAAAGCCACGGATGCCCAAGTCCTATGCTGTAGTATTTGCATTTAACTACACATATCCTCCTGTCTACATTAAATCATCTCTAGATTGCTTATAATACCTAATGCAATGTCAATGCTATGTAATTGTTTTTAAAAGTTGTATTATTTTTTACTGTTGTATTGTTATTTCTTATTAAGGTTTTTCCTGAATATTTTCAATCCATGGTTGGTGGAACCCTCGGACGTGGAAGGGCAGATATGGAGGACCAGTGTATCGCTGCCTCCCCTTGTTTCTCTCTAACAGAATCTCCATTTTGTCTGCCCTGGTAATGTGCCCAATGTCACATGCTCACCACCCCAGACTCCTGGGCTGCCGGCGGCGGTCGCAAGACAGTCCTGGCCAATGAGACCACTAAGAAAGTTTTAGAAAGGGACAGACTCCTGCCCTTCTGCACCTTCCCCTTCTTCCTGTATGGCATGCGGACACACGCCTTCAGTTGCTGCCGCATCTTACAGAGAGCAAAGAGATGAAAGCCAACATTCTGAGCACAGCTGGGTTGAAAGAAAAAGCCCAGCCTTGAAGGCAACACTCAGCATTTGCACAGTCCTGGACCATGTACTTTTGGGCTTTTATGTATGTGATGAAAATAATTTCTTTTTATTTAGCCCATCATTAGTCAGATTTAATGTTACTTGCAGCCAAATACATGCCTAGCATATATTAATATAACCTCACTGGGGCTGGAGAACAGATGATCATCGAATTCGTACCAAGCTCAACTCTGCTCCTGTCATGCACTACAGCCAATGAAGCCATTCGTCAGAGCTGTCCCCTGTGACCTATGACAGGGGTGCGGAAATTTTCCTATAAAGGACCAGATAGTAGATATTCTAGGCTTGTGGGCCATATGAGCTCTGGGACAACTACTCAACTCTGCTGTTGTAGCACGAAATCGGCCGTAGATGAATGTGCATGGCTTTGCTCCAATAAAACTTTATTTACAAAAAGCAGGCTGAAGGCTAGATTTGGCCTGTGGGCCAGTTTGCCAAGCCCTGATCTTGACTGGTAGGAATTTTCTAATTAGAAGGCAGGGCAGTCTACCCGACACTTATACTTCCCTTTCTTCCTTAGTTAAAGCAAAATCTTAATTTTATTTGAGTAGCTATGAAATTAGGTACAACTAAGTTCTGACCAATGAGGTGGAAGCGGAAGTTCATTTAGTGAAAATTCTGGAAAAAGTACTTAAAAGGGAAAGGTCAGATAAAGGCCTTTTGCCCTCTTCTCATCCAATCGGCTGCAACTCTGACCTGGTGGTTGTCATTCCAGGGCTCTCTCTAGCCCCGAAGGAACCTTTAGAATAGAAACCATTTTCAAGGATTTTGGAAGAAAAAGTTGGCGGGAACCTGGGATCCCAATGACGAAGAAGCCGTCATGTCAGTTCTCAGCTATCCCCTCCAGGCCTCTTTCATGTTAGAAAAATATAATGTATTTCATTTAAGGCAACCCTACTTTGGACTTTCTTTTATTATGCAGAAAACTTAATATGAACTCATGCATGCTAGAGTGACATGGTAACATTTGACTCAAATGCAATCTTGACAAACATTGAATTCTACCTGCTTATATTAATATTTATAGTGATAAACAGAACAGGCATCATTCCTTATTCGAAATCATCATTCACATATTTTCTCTCTTCAAATATGTTGCCACCATGAAAATGTACTTAAAATTGGAGGGAAGGGGTTCACCAGAGTTGATTCATTAACAACAGAATTTATACATCTATGAGAAAAACAGCACATACAAGAATATCGAGTCACTCTGGAAGACCAGACAGCTCTTAACCCTTTAGACATATAAGTGTAATTTATTTAGCATTTTTGTCCATCCACTGAGGGATTTAGAATCTAGTGAATAAAGCAAGATAAACCCATTCAGAACAAAGAACAATATTTTTTTTAAAGCAGGATAAAATGAACAATCTACATCAAACCGAGCAGAGAATGAGTCCAGAGGCATGACATGAGACAGACTGGAACTTTAAAGTGGCAGAGAAGAATACTTTGAACACTCTCTGTAGGAAATCAGTGCACAGTAATGAACAGTAATACTAAGAGACACTAGAGCACAGCTATTATGCATGTGTGTTCTGAAGCACTTCAGAGCTTTCAAGTCCTTTCTGCCACTTGCAGCCACGCAATCTTGGGCAAGGTACCTCGCCTCTCCAAGCCTGTTTGCATATCCATAGGATGGGCAGGGTACCTATTCAGGAAGGTGCTAGAGAATTAAGTGACATAACATGTAAGCAGCACTCAGTGTGTCTCCTGACACACAGTGAGGGCTTCATAATCGTCCATCGCCGTGTGTTAGTCGAGGAACAGAGTAAACTGCTGTAACAGAGAAGCTCAAAATTAGGACAGCTCACACAGGCAGAGATATTTATCACCCTCTCACGTATTAGTAACAGTGAGCCGGCTGGCAGGGTGGAGGTGGCTCTGCTCCACAGGTTACCTGAGGACGCTGCTTCCTTCAGACTTACTGCTCCACCGCTTCCTGCAATAGTACTCTCATCTGCACAAGTGACACTAGTTAACCAATATCCCACCCGGGGCTGAAAGACAGAAAAAGAGAAAAGGAAGGGCAAGCCATTTCCTTTCAAAGAATTGTCATAGAAGTTGCAAACATTACCTTGCTCACATTCTTTTGGGGGAAACCTAGTCACAGGACCACACCTGGTACGAGGAAGGCTAGGAAATATAGTCGTAAGCGGGGCAGTCATATATATGCCCTACTAAAAACTCAGGGAGATTCTAATGCTAAAACAAAGAAGCAGTTAAAGATTTTTAAAATTACTTTCATGCAAGGGCCAAGGCTACATTGAAGAGGGAGAGTACAGTATGTACTCTCAGTGGATCAAATCTGAAACTCAGGGAGCTCTGTCTACTATCACCGTACGGCATACGTGTGTGGGTTTCTGCTTGCTCTTAGAAAGAGTGTCTTAGCCAAACTAGATGTGTGTTAATTCTAAAATGTCCCTGTTTTTCTGTCTTTGGATGGAGGAAGAAAGAATCTAGGGGTAAGAGTAAGCTCATTCTTTGATTCTGGAATAATAGAGAAAAAAAAAATCTACTCCAAATTTAGCTGCAGTCTAATATCTGAGCTAAATTGTCATGTCCTCATCCATCCATTATGAAGATAAATTGATTACAAAGTCAAAGACAGCATGTGCCAGGCTGTCTGGAGGGCACTCTGGTGACTGGCAAGGTGGTTTAACCAGGGTTCCCTGTGAGTTTGACCCTCATTGTCCTCATTATCACTATGCTCTGGGTCCTCCTGCAGTGCAGCAGATAAAGAGAGGAATGAAAATGAGGGAAAAGCCACCCAGAGCACTTAACGGACAATAAAAGCAAGACAAAAAGTTATACAAACCACAGATACATGCTCACGTTAGGTTGTTTGTCACGCAAGTTCTCCTGTGATGTTGCTATTGGGGGTGGGGCATGATATGGGATGCCAATGTCACAGCCAAGTGTCATGGAACTATGTAGCTAAGCCCTCCACTACAATCCAGAAATCAGAAAAATTCAGTATAGCTCTAGGTATTGCATCGCCTAAGTTATTCTCTGCCATGCAAGGGCCCCAACTCTCCGTCAGCTACTACCAACTAACCACTTCTCCCATTTCTTCTGGAGTCTTCCTGACTTCATGGCATTTACTTACTCTTGTTTCTGCTTATTCATGACATGTAGTGCCTCAGGGCTTGTACACTGCCTTCTCTCTGAAGGCATTCCAGCCAAGGTCCCGGGACATACCAGCTGCTGAAATTCCTGAAAGAGTGCCCAGTAGACCCAGAATACCACCATTGCCCCAGTAAAGCACCATTTTTTGCCAGGCCACTTCCTAGGCCAGCCATAGCTTGAATGCCTGTGGCTTATTCTGACCCAATCAGCAGTGGCTGGGCAGGTCAGATCAAGAGGTGAGAACCCAGCTATTTAGGAGGAACGAACCACCCAGCCTCTTCTCTCCAGCAGTGCAGGCGTTCAGCTGTTCGTCCCTGTCCAGGATCATACTTACTGGAGCTCCTATGGTGTTCACTTGAAAGGACAAGGTATTTGAGAAAATCCTGGTGGAGACTCTAGATGCACACTACAACTGACAGAAGGCAGAAGACAGACCCAGCCACAGAAATCCTCAGAGGCACACAATTGACTTATATGCATCTAATTTACTTCAATGAATCACATCGTAGGTGGCCTATTGCCTAGTTTTAAATGATGCAAACATCTTCCAGACTAATTAGCATTTACAACATCAATTTTGTATTTCACAAAAGATGAAGAATTGATTTAATTAGCTTTAAACTTGTAAACGCCCAGTATAAATACACTGAAGTCAAGAATGTGGTGTAACTAAATTTGTCTTCAATGTCTTCCCACCTTGAATCATTACTCGCCTTCCCCACCTCCAGGCATCTATATGGTCCTGCTTCTTGGTGACCACCAGCCCACCCTACAGCGCCCAGCCTTCCACAGACCACAGTGAGCTCTGCAGCTCCCCAGGAACCTTCTGTTCCACATCCCATTCTCACCTCCTCTGGTGGAAGGTGCCTAAGGAACTCAACTGCAATATGATTAATAATTGTTCTTAATTTATTCTCTGTAGCCACTAAAATTATGAATCTAATAATCATAGGAAGAGCCTCCTGATAAAAATTTGCATTATTTCCCCCCCCCCAAAGAACCTAAGTGCCATTTACCTCTATTACATTACCCCTATTATATTCCACTGTGGTGGGTTTTGGAAAAGGTCAGTTAGT